TCTACCCTGAAATGAGTTTCAGTCATTGATTATCACATAGTTGAGAAGACAGCAAGTGGCCTTCTGGCCTTGGCTAGCTTTTTGGAGTAATCTGGAACTGGCATTGGGGAGGGGCCCATGTAGTCCATCATCATACTTTCCTTTTTTCCCTTTTTCTTGGTGAATACCGAATCTCTTAGAGAAATTCCCCCAGGCTTTTGGAAACCAGGAACACTGTGACCCTTTTCTGTGGACCGTAAGCCTAACTTGTTCTAAGCTAAGACTGCCAGCTAGCTGGGCCCCTCTTTTTCAGCTGCCCCTCTGTCTGTTGAGTACAGACTGATAGGTATTTATCTACTCTAAGGCTTTCTTTGCAAAAACTTTAAGCTTTCTGGAAGTATGATATTTTGACAGCCATTACAGTGTTGTTGCCTCTTAAATTCATAGTTTGAAAAACCTTACTGTGGGCCGGCGCTGCGGCTCAATAGGCTAATCCTCTGCCTAGTGGCACCGGGACACCGGGTTCTAGTCCCGGTTGGAGTGCTGGATTCTGTCCCGGTTGCCCCTCTTCCAGGCCAGCTCTCTGCTGTGGCCAGGGAGTGCAGTGGAGGATGGCCCAAGTACCTGGGCCCTGCACCCCATGGGAGACCAGGATAAACACCTGGCTCCTGCCTTCGGATCAGCGTGGTGTGCCAGCCGCAGCGCGGTGGCCGCGGCGGCCATTGGAGGGTGAACCAATGGCAAAAAAGGAAGACCTTTCTCTCTCTCTCTCTCTCTCTCTCTCTCTCCACTCTGCCTGTAAGAAAAAAAAAAAAAACCTTACTGCGTACTTACCACCTGTACAGCTTTTGGCTTGCTGGTACATAAATACAAAGAATTAGAAAATAGACCAATTTATGTTTTTACTCTGCAGTGAAAATGAGGACATATGACTGAACATCAGAAGCAAATAGAAGGCTAAATGTCATGAGAGAGGCATTGGCCATGTGGGGGATGGTAAGGCAATATGGAGGTGGGAGTAAAGAAAAGAGAGATGCTTCCCAGCTGTTAGGATTCCAGAAAACTGGGACATTTTTAAAAAAATCTAGGAGCCAGGGGCCGGCGCTTTGGCACAGTGTTAATGCCCTGACCTGAGGTGTCAGCATCCCATATGGGTGCCAGCTTATTCACGTCCCAGCTGCTCTACTTCCTATCCAGCTCTGCTATGGCCTGGGAAAGCAGTAGAAAATGGCCCAAGTCCTTGGGACTCTGCACCCACGTGGGAGACCCAGAAGAGGCTCCTGGTTCCTGGCTTCAGGTTGGCGCAGTTCCAGCTATTGTGGCCAGTTAGGGAGTATATCATCAGATGGAAGATCGATCTCTCTCTCTCTGCCTCTCCTCACTCTGTGTAACTCTGACTTTCAAAAAAATAAATAAATCTTTAAGAAAAAAATCTAGGGGCCAGTGTTGTGGCATAGCAGGTAAAGCCGCTGCCTGCAACGACAGCATCCCATATGGGTGCCAGTTCAAGTCCTGGCTGCTCCACTTCCAGTCCAGCTCCCTGCTAATTTGCCTGGAAGGCAGCAGATGGCCCAAGTGCTTGGATGAAGTTCCTGGCTCCTGGCTCCTGGCTGTTACAGCCACTGAGAAATAAAACAGTAGATGGAAGATGGATCTCTCGCTCTCGCTCTATCTCTCTCTCTCTGAAACTGCCTTTCAAATAAATTAATCTTTTATTTTTAAATAGGTCTACTTCTTCAAGTACAGGTACAATTGGTTGGAAAAACAGAGTCTCTCTTTGTGAATAGTGTGGATTTCAGCAAAAGACACAAGTAAAGTTGCAGAGCTTGAAAAATGCCAGGAATTTTTGTTTAAACTGAGTAGAATGGGAAGGGAGAGTGTAGACAACACTGGAATCTGCAAGTCCTTTCTTCGTTAAACCTAATAAAGTTTCTCTTGGATGTTTGGGTCTTTGTACCTGAAGGCTCCCTCCCATGTCATGTAAAACTTTGCTTAAGTAAGTTACTGTGTTTTTCTCTTTTGAATCTATCTTTTCTTATAGGAATGTCAACCATGAACCTTATAATGGGTGAGGAAAAGATGTTGTGTCTTATCCCCTACAACTGTATGCCCCTGAAGGAGAGAATTTATTCACTGTTGTATCCTCAGTACCCAGAACCAGAGCCTGAAACATAGCTATACTCAAATATTAATTGAACAAAAATGAAAGTAGGAAGGAGGGTTTGAGGGAGTGAAGAAGTTAGATGAGTTTTGCATAAAGGGAAGGGAGTAAATATTTAATTCTTTACCCAGTACTCATACTCTGTACAAATGTATTAGTCTGTTTTTCATTACTTAATTAAATACTTAAGGCTCACTTTTTGTTATGTAATGAATGCATTTTCCATAGATACACTTTAGGAATACAGTGATTCTTTCCCCCGTGCTCCCCACCGTGCTCCCATCCTGCCTCCCATTCCCTCTCCCATCTCCTTCTTCATTATGGATCATTTTTAGTATGACTTTATATATAGAGGACCAACTCTATGCTAATCATATATTTCAACAACTTGCCCCCATGGCCACATACAACATATAGAATACAGTTTGGGGAGAGAATTTGCAGTTGATTCTCATATTGCAGTTCAATAGGGACAGAGGTCCTACCTGGGGGGCAAGTGCACAGTGACTACTGTTGCTCCTTTAACAATTAACACTCTTTTTCTTTATCATGTTGGTGATCATCCAAGGCTCTTGTCATGGGATACCAGGGCTATGGAGGCCTTTTGTGACCATAGACTTCGTTGGTATCTGGACACGACCATAAGCAAACAGGTTGTTCTCCTCTCCCTTCAGAGTAGAGTGTCTCCTTCTTTACGCTTCCTTTCCTCTGAGGTCTCACATAGATCCTCCGTGTAGGATGTTTTTTTTCTACAGAATCTTGTCTTTCTATGCCTGAGATGTTCTTGCAGGCCTTCCAGCCCGACCGGGAAAGGCTAATTTTTATAGAAGGAAAGGGTTTTATTTAGCTTAAGGTTCTCTAGGTTCGGTAGCATGGTCTAGCACTGGCTCTGGAGCATGCGTTTGTGAACTAGGTAGCCAGAGTGAGGGGAGGAGCTTTTTTATAACAATTTGAGAGAGAAGAGAGAAAACTAACGCAGAGGCCCACAAAAACTATCACAAATCCCTTTTAAAATCAGCAGCCCCAATGAACTCCCTCTAGGTACCCCTTAAAGGTCCATCAGTTCCCAACATGGTCATCCTGCGGAACAAATTCCCCATACATGAACCCTTGGGAGAAACACTCAAAGCATATCCAGATCATTCTAGTTACCAGTGAAGGGTGTGAACAGAGGAAAGAAAGCAAAAGCACACAGTTGAGGAAGAATAAGTTGGTGATGATTTGTAGGATGAATTTTTTTAAAAAGTCATTCAACTCCCTCTACTTTCTACAATCTGGTACTCTATAACAAAGCTATTTGTGCTTTCTTTTTTTAAAGAACAACTTTTAATTTTGAAACAGTTTGATTCATAAGAAATTACCTAAATATGAGGGGGTCTTCAGAAAGTTCATGGAAAATGTGTTTTTAAGAAAAAAGCTATGTATGGATTTAAAAATTTTTTGCACCAAAATAAAGTTATTGTTTAAATCCATTTTTCCATGAACTGTGTGAAATGCCCTCATAGTACAAATTTGTGTGTTTTCACCCCTATTTTCACAAACAATAATATCTTACATTATTGTAATACATTGTCAAATACAGAAAATTGTCCTTTGTGTAATACGAGTAACTCAGATACATATCTCAGTCAGATTTAATCAGATTTTATGTGTACCTTTTTGTGTGTATGTGTAGTTCTATATAACTTCACCACATGTAGGCATGCTATTTAATGTTTCTATGTCTAATTTTGTAGCTTTTGGCAAAGTAAAGTGTTAGAAAATACTCTTTTATACCATTCTCCTGGTTCTTATCCTCCCCCATCATTTATACATAAATAAAATGAATGGCTCATTGTTTATTCTTCTGCATTGTGTGTGTGGTTTTTTTTAAGATTTATTTATTTATTTGAAAGAGTTATACAGAAAGAGACTGTTTTTTTTTTTTTTAACTTTTAAAACTGGTACATAACACTTTTTCTTTCTATCAGTCATTTGTCTACTTAACCATCCTTCATATCCTTATCCTTTCTAATAATAAAATATTTCTGTAAGGCTGCTGACAGAGTGTTAGAGTTTTTCCTTTGCCAGCCCAACACAAATTTCTGGCAAGTAATTTACCAGTAATTTCAGAATTGGGAAATGTGGGTGGTGGGAAGATGATTGGCTAACTTATTCTCTCTTTCTAACTTATAACATTTTGGATATTCTGCTAACCATATTATTTTAAAATTTAAAAGTCTACCTTATTAATTTTTACTTATTGTGGTGTGTTGAGGTGGGTTCATTCTGAGAGGAGGAGCATGGTGAGGACAAAAGGCACGGAGTCACTACACAGACCCCGGGAGTCAGGTGAAAGCAGGCCAGAGGCAAGCAGCCTGCAGACTCGTTTATTTCAGTTGGTACAGCAGCTTAAATAGCCAAGGCAGCCAATCCAGTCAAGCAGCGGTTTATGCCCTAACCAATCACAGCCTGTTGCCAGGCAGTATCCAAAGCCATCACATCACAGCCTGTTGCCAGGTGGTTTTTGAAGCCATTCCTGAGTAACTGATGCTTGCTTGCCAGCGGCCATCTTGGCATGGCCTTCTCATTCCACCACAGTGGTATATGTCTAAGTGATTTAGACTTTCCAAAACAAAGTGTTAATGTTAAAATCTTACAGTTTAATTCCTGCAGCTACACCACATATATTTGTATATGTGAATATGTTCTCTATATGATATATATATGCTTTATGTACTGTTACATACTTAGATATTGCTGATATTTTATGTGAGAATTCATGGTCTTTAATAGATTTCTGGATTAATTTCAAGAGCTGTGTGTGACAGCTGAAGAAAAACCAAGATTTATCTGAATATATTTGATACATTTTTTACAGATTCTGAGTTCTGTCCGAACAGAATGGGATCCATTGGATGTTTGCTTTGGCACCAAACAGCCATATCAGGTGCTCACAGTGGAACGCTCCATCAGTGTAGACAAAGAGCCCATGGCTGACAGTTGCATCTATGAATGTATTAGAAACAAAATGCAGTGTGTATCAGTCACCAGAATACCACTAAAATCAAAGGCCATCAGCTGCTGCAGGAACATTACTGAAGAAAAACTGATACTGGGCTGTGAAGATTCTTCAGTAATTCTATATGAAACTCACCGTAGGGTGACTGTCTTAGCCCAGGCTGAACTTTTACCTTCATTAATAAGTTGCCATCCAAGTGGTACCATTCTGCTAATTGGTAGCAATCAAGGAGAGCTGCAAATTTTTGATATGGCTCTGTCCCCTATTAAGGTCCAGCTCCTGGCTGAAGACCTCTTACCCAAGAAGACTTTGCAATTCAATAAATTCTTTGCTGTTTCTAGCAGTCTTGTTCAAATGCAGTGGATAGCACCTCACGCTGTGTCTCAGAAGTCAGAAATTGGAGACATCTTTGATCTCCTCTTCATCAGGTTTGACCGAGGACCTATGGGTGTGCTTCTGTTTAAACTTGGTAAGTTGGAAGTTGAGTGGGCAAATTAAAGTGTGTGTGATGGTGACATAATTAAGGAAATAAAACTATTGTTGAAATGTAAATTTTCCATTTATTATCCCATAAGTATTTTTACCATTCATGTGGGTGATTTTCTAAAAGCCAAAGAAATTTTCTAAAAGCCAAAGATATTGAAGACTTTGAAAATTGTGCTAATTGTCTATCATGATGCTTAAAAAGCCCAAACTTTCACATTTGGTAATTTCTAAAATAAAGTGTCCTGCTACGGAATTCCATAAGAAGTAGTAGTGAACAATTAAAAAAGTACCTATATCCATGGACAAATTCTGTGTTGTAGGAATATAATAGTTTTTCTATAAAACTTTGGTGTCTGTTGCTTTCCAGATTGGAACTGTGTGAAGTGTTTAAAAAAAAAGGAAACAGATGTTTAGTTAAAATTTGCTAAAAATAATTTTTGTTTCAATTTTAGATAAAAATATTCAAAAGAATTTATCAATATCTATAAAATTATATATTAATATATCTAAGCCTGAATACTTTAACATGAAGTTTTTTGCTGATGATTCATTTGCCTTTTACAGTTTTGTATTACTAGTTATTCCCTGAAATAGTAATAACTAGGTTGTTTTATATAATTTAATGTTGTTGAAAGAAGCTCACTTAGATTTGAAAGTGAATTTTCATTAATCTGCATTATGACTACTTGAAAATAAAGAAAAGTTAATACATTTTAAAACCTCATAAGGATTTGGCTCTGTGGTACCAAGTTAAAGTTTTTAAAGACATTATAATGTTTGTTTAATGGCTTTCAGTGTACCTTTTTTTTTTTTTTTAATGAATCCACTTGATTCTGAAATTGAACATATGGAATCTAGTGAAAATTATATTAAGCTGGGAGATATAATGCATAAAATGTGAGGCCTATGTTCCTTCCACATAACAAAATTGCAGTTAAATCTCTTCATCATGCTAATATTGTCCCAGAAAAAAATGTTTGGAATCTCATTTATTATAGGATAGTACAGTTATGCTTTGCCCAGCTACATGTTTAACAGTGTGTGTCTTCATACACAGCGCTAATTAAAGTGGATGTCTGATGTTTTGCTGGTCTGTTAAAACTATCTCTGTCCCTGTCCCTCTCACCCTTTACATTACTCAGTTTTCTGTCAAACAGAAGGCTCTCTGCTCACATGTACCTAGCTTTTCTTCAGCCCTCCCTTGTGGGCCTACTCACAACAGCTTTGCAAAAAGCACAGCTTTCTCTTTCTATCTCTAGCACATTTGCCTTCTTACTAAAGTAAACAGGCTCTCAGTGTAGGGATTTAGAGGGCTTCCTGCTAATTGCCAGCTAGTAAACTTAATTGGACTGTCTCCCTGGGCACTGTTCCTAAATCAATTAGGCAATGAGTTGGCTGTCACCTCTTTTTCCCAAGAAGGTCTCTTGGAAGAGAATTATCCAATAGAAGTCAAGCATTCCGGTGAAAAGGTGATAACTTCTACAACTGACATTTATCATTTAAATCTTATTTTCAATATGACTCAAGTTTAAAGAATAGAGAAATAGTACAGTCTTATAGCCTCTTTATAAGATGGAAATGTGAAATTTCCAAGAAATTTTAGTTTTATTTTTCATTTTTAATGTATTATAAGGGTAATATTTATTACAAATTATTTTTTCCTGGGAAGAGTAGATTCCTTGAAATAGTGGTTTCTAACTAGCACTTTCTTCTTTAAGAAAACTCAATTTAAAGAACAGATTTTTCTTGTGATCTGCTACTAAATACATCCAAAAAATTAATATACTTCTTGAATTAACACAGTGCTGATTCTGGGCATCCTTGTGGAATTTTCATGTATAATTCAAGTTACTGCATATATAAACAGGTAGTTGCATGTGCAGTTTCCCCACCAGGGAGTATTTATGAGATTTTTTTCAGATGCTTGTTATGCAAGTCTTTGGAAAATTTGACATGAAAGGTGTAGCTTACCAGTTAAAATTGTAAAGCTAGATCATAGATCATAGTTTAAAATAGAATGCTGTCATGTGTAAATGTGGCAGTGGTGGATGCCAGTACACTAAGATTTTTGACTCTTAGATTAGGTCAGTTAATGTAATCTTGAAGGAAAACTGTTCTAGGGCTAGAGCTTCCATACTTAATCCTTACAATGATCATATAAAATATGTTGGGAATTAAAAGGCCATAACCTCTGTTGTTAGAATTTGAAGAACATGGCCGGCGCCGCGGCTCACTAGGCTAATCCTCCGCCTAGCGGCGCCGGCACACCGGGTTCTAGTCCCGGTTGGGGCACCGGATTCTGTCCCGGTTGCCCCTCTTCCAGGCCAGCTCTCTGCTGTGGCCAGGGAGTGCAGTGGAGGATGGCCCAGGTGGTTGGGCCCTGCACCCCATGGGAGACCAGGAAAAGCACCTGGCTCCTGGCTCCTGCCATCGGATCAGCGCGCTGCGCTGGCCGCAGCGCGCCAGCCGCGGCGGCCATTGGAGGGTGAACCAACGGCAAAGGAAGACCTTTCTCTCTGTCTCTCTCTCTCACTGTCCACTCTGCCTGTCAAAAAAAAAAAAAAAAAGAATTTGAAGAACATGTCTTCCTCAGGAGGTAGCCATAAGTGTTGTTCTCTTACACAAAAATCCAAGAAATATTGCTTTAGATAGATTTGTGCAGTATTCAAAATTTCTTTTTTGTGGCAATCATTATCCAATATTTCCACATATATCTGTGTTCAAAAGGGGAGGTCCTAACCTTGCTCCTGAGATAATAAAGCTTTTCCATTCTTATCAGTACCTATCACTGATCTGTTAAAGTCAACTCCCTACCCTCTCAACAGAGGACTAGTTTTTAAAGTTTATCTGTTTCTCACCACCCAATCAAGCACCCAACCACCCTCTCAATTCAGTGAGAATGGAGCCCTTCCTCTGGTCAAAGACTGCTTATACAAGGACTGCACTGTGGATCCCTCAGCATTCCCTTTGACATTTTTACTTTGTCACCTTCCCCAGCCCCTTTTAATCTTACTATATCAGCGTATAAACAGATCCAAGCCATATCATAAGAACAAACAAAACTTCCTTAAAATTGTTTCCTGTCTATTAAAAATTAAACGTTCACTTTTGTTTTGTAGCCAAAAACATTGAAATAATAGTGAGCACTGATTTTATCTGCTTTTTCACTTCTCATCACTATATTCTGGTTTGTGGCTTCAGGATTGTCCTCGAACTGCTCTCGGAAAGCTTACCAGTAACTTCCTACTTATATTCTTAATGACTTTCCAGCACTTGATTGTTGACTACTTCCACTGTCATAGAACTCTCTTCACGTTTGTCTTCTATGAACCTGAATTGGAACTTTATACCACATTTTTTATGATATTGTTCTACCTACTCATGAAAATTTTCAGGCTCTCCAAGATTCCATTTTTTAGCTCTTGTCTCATTTTGTATAGGTTGAGAGTTTATTTTATTTTTTTTAAGATTTATTTATTTATTTGAAAGGCAGAGTTATGGGGAGAGGAAGAAAGAGAGGGAGAGACAGAGAGAGATCTTCCATATGCTGGTTTATTCCCTAAATGATCACAATGGCTGAAGCTGGGCCAGTCCAAAGCAAGGAGCCCAGGCATTTCATGCAGGTCTCCCTCTTGGGTGCTGGGGCCCAAGTACTTGGGTCATCCTCCACTGCTTTCCAGGCACATTAGCAGGGAGCTGAATCATAAGTAGAGCAGTGGGACTCGAACTGGTGTCTGTATAGGATGCCAGTGTCCTAGGCAGCAGCTTTACCCTATGTTAGCCCTGAGAGTTTATTTTTAATTTAATTATTTTGCTGTGCTTTGCATGTCTTCTGCAAAATTCATGTTGAAATTTACTTGTCAGTAATAAGATGTGATTAGGGTATGAGAACTCCACTTAGTAATGGATTAAAACCACTATTGAGAGTTAGTTATCCTCATAGTGTGTTTAAGTTTGATCCTCAGTCTTCCTCTCTGTCAGGCATGTTTTTGCTTGTCCTTCTGCTGTATTTTATAAAACAAGAAGACCCTCACCAGATGTGGCTCTTCCCAGCCTCCAGAACTGTGAGCCAAATAAACTCCAATTGTTTGTAATTTACCCAGGCTGTGGTGGTGTCCTGTTACAGCATTAGTAACCAGAACAAAACACTTCCGTTTCTGGCCCCATCCCAGACCACTCCTGGTTCCATATCCACATTTTTTCCTGGCTTGCTAGATACCTATTCATGGATAGACACAAGTGCCTCGAACTCATGATTAGATATAAAGTGACCATTTTCTCCACAAACCTGCTGTTCTTCTTGTATTCTCTGTTAGATGGCAAAATTATTCAGATGGAAGTCATCCTAGAATCTTCCCTTCAAGCCTAATTCCGTGTATAATCAGTGACCAAATCTCATCAGTTCTGTCTTTTAAATACTATCAAAACATCTCATTCAGTTCAGTCTCACTGTCATTACTTTAATCTAGACCTTTCCTGTCTTACCATAATCAAGCAGAGACCCTCTATTTGTACTCTTCTGCTTCCTAATCTTCCTATTCCATAATCCAGCTAATCCCCTGAACTGCTACTAGAATGGTCATTCTAACAGTACAGATTTGGTCATGGGTTCTCCATCTTGAAATACTTTAGTGGTTGTTAAGCCTGTTTCTGCCTCTCAGTTGTGCCACACTAGAGAAGCTTCCCAACCATGGCATGTGTTCTCACCATCACTACTTCCATGGTGATATTAATAATATTCCATTTGCCCCGCATGTCTCCCCAGTATTTTCAGCTTGCAAAGTTGGGAAAAAGTTAAAATGTTGAACTGATAATGTTAAACAAGAATTAAAGCTAGCATCCCCTCTCCATAGAATTTTGAGAATCATAGATGATGTGTATGACTGTCCTTTTTTTTAAAAAAAAGATTTATTTTATTTTATTTGAAAGGCAGAGTTACACAGAGAGAGAAGGAGAGACACAGAGAGATCTTCTATCACTCCC